CCAGATATAGGACCTTGCACTTCAAATCAGATTAATTAAGATGCAAAAAGAATTCTGCTTTAAAAACCTTTAACAGTGTGGTGTCGAATCTGATATTCAGATCATGACACACCACAGTTGTGGCTAAACTCATCATTCCCAGTGCCCTTTGTACACAGCTGGCTGAGTTTCAAGCACAAATGGCATCCTGTAAAAACTGCTCGACTCGCATAGTCGACTGAGCTAGTTCCAACCAGCATGCTGCTTCCTGCTGTATTATGATGGATCCTTCACTATGGAGCAAAAATTGAAGTATATCCATCACATTCAACTGCTTTTGCCATTCCTGGCACAACTGTACAGTTACATTCCAAGTTACAAGAGAATTCCTGCAGGGTTCTAAATTAAGGTTACATATCTCTGCCCTGCAGAAAAACTACACAGGTGCTTATGAATGAAAGTGGAGATTGCCTGCACAGAGTCTTTCCAGTTTCAAATGTTAATAGTAGGTCATCTCTTTCCAACATATTAGTGAGACACAAGAGATTTTTGTGTTTATATATACAACGCTTGTATGCATAAAATATAATCTTAGATTATGTTCCTATATAAATATCTTAGATGTATCTTCAACTATTTAATACACTATCTGAGAAACTCTAGCAGTTAAACTGCAAGAGAGCAACAGCCATATATAAAGAGCCTTCAGATGATTCCAAGAGGGTTGAATTGAAAGCTTATGTAACTGCACTGTTGTACCTGTTGAAACTGAATCTAAGACACACTTGGATAATTAAGCACCAGAAGTGCTTAGCTGTATTTTCAGCTCCTGTCAAACAAGGAAGATGTAGGAAGTTGAGGTGTTTGCCTTTTGTCTTCCTCTGCCTTACCTCCTGCAGCATGTCAGAGTCTTCTATGGCTTTCACTGCAGTCTTCTTTGAAGTTTCTTGTACTTCTCCACCAATTATAAACTCATCAAGGATAAAATAAGCCTTTTCAAAATTAAAGATAATATCCAGCTCGCACACCTGCCAGAACAAAAGGACACACTTAAACAATTTTTACAACATTATAAGCACTTCTGGGCCAAAAGTTGTTGTGATGATTAAACATACTCGACACATTCACTCTTGTGGCAGGTACCAGGGTAAAGAACAAAACTGAGTATTATGTAATATTGAAGTTTCTGCACATACTTTCTTCACATGTACAGACTTATAGCAAAGATATTCTGCTTACTATTAAATTCATACTGGTTCTCAGAGAACAAAGCTGACTTCTAACCTTATCATAGGTCCTACATAGCCCTTGTAATATGGGTTACATATGTTCACACAGCTTCACAGAGCAAGACAACTTCCCTGCCTAGTGACAGCCACCAAACTTTTTTTGTTTTGAGATGCCACAGACATGAATCATGGCAAACTGATTTAAATAAGAGATGAATTCAGGTAGTCAGGATAATTTCAAAAATGTTCATAGGAAAGATGGGTCTCTTGTAGCCTTTAAAGACTTACTGAAATACTTATTTGGACCTTCTTCAGGTCCTTGTTTAAAAACACACCCACTTTACCTTTTTCCTCTTTCTATGTCATTAATTGTTACACAGTATTATGAAGCAAACAGAACCAGTGTATCTGAAGATGTCAGAAAAGAGAACTAATGTACTGTAACCCAAGGGTTTTAAAAGTAAATTTTCCTCAAGCTTTCCCCTCAAATTCCATTCCAAGACAGACATACAAAGCATTGTATTCATTTTGTGGGGGAGAAAGGATGGAAAAATAATCTTATGGTCACTTCAGCACTATTTTATAAAATACTCTATGTGCTGGTTTGGGCTGAAGTGGAGTTAACTTTCCTCCCAGTGGCTAGTATGGGACTATGTTTGGGATTTGTGCAGGGCACAAGGTTGATAATGCAGAGATGTGTTTGTTGCTGCTGAGCAGAGCTCACACAGAACTAAGGCCTTTGCTGCTTCCCACACTGCCACGTGGCAAGGAAGTTGGGGGTGCATGGGAGATTGGGAGGAGACACAGCTGGGACAGGTGACCGTGACCCAAACAAAGGGATATTCCACACCATAGGACATCATGCTCAGTATACAGAATGGGAGGAAGGATGAGGAAAGGGGGCATGTTTGGAGTGAAGGCATTTGTCTTCCCAAGGGGCCCTGCTCTCGAATGGGAGGAAGGATGAGGAAAGGGGGCATGTTTGGAGTGAAGGCATTTGTCTTCCCAAGGGGCCCTGCTCTCCTGGAGGTGCTGAACACCCCCTGCCCGTGGGAAGCAGTGAATTAATTCCTTGTTTTGCTTTGTTTGTGTGTGTGGTTTTTTCTTTCTCTATCAAACTGTCTCTATCCATGAGTTTTTCTAGCTTTTACCCTTCCAATTCTCTCCCCCATCCCATTGGTGGGGGAGTATGTGAGCAGCTGTGTGGGGTTTGTGCAGATGGAAACACAAAGCAAAACAGCTCCACATAACTTTGTTTATCAGACAGACAGGAATGAGTTCACGGGAGAAAGTGAAACCTACATTTCCAAAGTATCTGTCCAGGAGCTCTACGTATCTGTGAACGACCTCTAGTGTCAGGAGCTCATTATCTTGGTCTTCTATTGCACAGCAGAAATACAGACTAGCATACCTGGGGAAACAGAGGCAAAAACGTGAGAGTGAACAGCTGGGACCTCAGTACTCTGCTCGTCTCTTAGAAGTTACACATATGCCAATTAATTCCCATCTGGTCTCTAAAATAATAATTTTATTTCAATCTTATGGGAACACTTTAAAATATCAGATAATTTAAACAGATTACTGTTTAAAGAACTGGTTAGAAGAACAAGCTCCACCCTTGGCAAAGTGGGATACCTCCAATGCTTGTCACAATAAAACAAACAAGAAACCAGTAGCATTTTCAGATCTCCCTCACCTGCTGCAATAGCACTACAGTAAGTGGGGTTAATTAAACTATAGAATGAGGTATTCCTCCTAATTAAAAAATAAAAACAAGGTGAAAATAAAGGTGAAAGGAGGCACTATCAAATGACAGTGTTTTACATGGGGCCAGAATGAATGAAACTGCTTAGACTGAGTAATCTTCATAAATAACTTGCAGCAAAACTTTATGTTCCAATCAGCCCAAGGTGGGAGTAACGAGTTACCTCAGCTCCACGGTGCTGTGGCAGGAGGCCAACTTGGCACAGCACCTGATCATATGTTTACATCCCTCACTTCACAGCATGGAACCCAGGTTTTGCTAAATGGGAGGTGTTGTTTAATTTGCAGAGTGATACCTTAAGGCTACTTTTGTTTGCTACAACTCTGGAGGAATGAACAGTCCCTTCCTGGAAATGGGAAATGGAAATTAACACTTTCCAGAGCAACAAATACAAAATTTGTTGAAAGTGCCTCAGGACACTTCTTGCAACATTCCAAAAAGCCTGATAAAGCCCAGCACACATCCCAGCAGGCTACCCTGGGGAATTAGAAGGAGCAATGAAGCCTAAAGTCTTCCAAACACTAATACTTACTAGGTTACTCCCCTTTTTCTCATTTGACAGATTGTGCTAGTATTCTGCATCCCACAATTTACCCTGTTTGTCTGTCCAGGGACACTGTGCTGTTATACACAGGTAGATGCTGATGGAAGACTCCTATTAACTCTGCCTAGCACTTAAGGGGTTTGTTTGCTGCTTTTCTTAAAGTGAGCCTTTATTTTTCCTCTCCTAGCATGTGTTATTCATGTGAATAGTAATTATATGTTCTCATAAAATTACTCACACCTTTTGTAAACAAGCTTGAGGTCTTTCCAGTCAACAAAACTACTTGTTTTTTGATTGCGAGACAAAACAATCTGAACAATTTCTCGAATGATCTTTTTCTTCTCTTTATCAGGCAGCGTCGTATACCATTTCTGAAGCCTTAACTTCCCCTGCCGACTGAACAGCAGGATGAAGTGTATCTAGAGCAAACAAAGCAACATGATTAAAACCAGGGCTATGGCCAGAGAAGAGAATTCCTCTGCCTGTTGCCAGAAATCTGAGTCCTGGCCACACACCTCCAGCCCTGGCGTGATGTCAGTGAGCTCCAGGGGAGGCAGAGCATGGGAAAGATCCCTCCTCTCTCCAGTTTCTTCCCCAGGTAGCTCTCCCCCTCCCTGTGGGACCTGTTTCCTCAGCAAATCCTTTGCTCCCTCTCCTACCCATCCTTCCTTACCCTGTGCAAACAGCAGTTTTGCTTTCTTTTCTGCCCCTGCCCTGAGGAACAGGAGGAGCATCACCACTTTGCAGCGGTGAGAGGAGGGCACCACCCTCTCCTCCAGCGAGATCAGGTACTTCAATGAGGGGAATAAAGATTTGTCCACAACAGGACTAGGGAGGATCAAGGATGTAGACTGTCAGACGACTAGAAATATGAATAGCAAGATAGTAATCATAATCACTAACAATCCTGATGTTGCACTATTTCAGGACACAAACAAAGCAGAGAGTTCCTAGAAGAGGCTATAAGGGGCAGAAGAAACTGATGACTTTGGAAAGGAAGCTTGACTAGTTTTACTAAGCAGTCAGCACATTACGAAACACAGACAACTGCAGACAAAGGACAGACCTCAGTGACAGCAGATATTATATTAAATAGAGCACAATATCCACAGTGCTCTAAAATTTCAAGTTTAAAGCTGGTCATAATTTTACAGGGTTTGAGCCATGAGTTTTTCATGCTTTGCATGAGCAGTACTACTGAAATACACAAAATGCCAGTGAGGCTTTGGCAGAAAATTACCAATGCACATTTACATAGATATTCCATTGGCAGGTTAAGAGAATTGACCATAGTGTCTATAAGTAGTGCAGTAAGCCATTCATCCAGAGTGTGGAAATGGCTTTACAAATTACATCCAGCTCAACAGAACAGTCTCACAATGTTCACCCACAAACCCATTTAAGAGGGATAGAGATGTAGATGTTTTCAATGGCTGAAGACGCTATGAACTGCCCTGCCCTTGACAGACATCCCCATCACTGTTCTCACCACCACAAAAGCCTGGAGGCCAGGGATTTGCAGGAAGGATGTGTAGCCACAGTCACATCCATGTGCATGATGACAAGCACACTGCTGGGAGGACCAGGGAGAAGCACAGGAGCCTCTCTTTCCTCCCCTGCACCCAGTCCTTTGCAAAGTCCCAACAGAAGATCCAGCAGGCCCTTTACTACATTCCCATTTCTATTACTCTAGCATTACCCTTCCCTGTAGTTTTTCAATCTACACACTAATCCCTTCTGTTTCTTGTTTCCTATTCCAGTTATTGCTGTACCTATACTTCTCCATCACTCCATTTCCCTCACAAGGACTATAAAGTTAATGTTCACAATCACTATCAAGATTACAATGCAGATTTCTGCAGAGATAAAATCCTTCCACGCTCTGGTGAAGTCCAAGCAGAGAAGTACACCAGAAAAGCTTCTACATAACAGAAAAAAAAGAAAAAGCTACTGGATTTTAAACAAAGCATTCATTCATAACTCAGAACTGTTTCTGGTTATTGAGTTGCATAGTTGTTGAGTAACCCAAAGGTAAGAGTTCTGACTGTATTGAGAAAGACTTCAAATGTGGGATCATTTCAGGGAAAGGAGGCCTGTTTTATTCATACATGTCTGTGGCAGGATCTACTGCTATGGCTCTCACCATCCATTAGTCTAATATGCTTGATAAAATTACAAGGATTTTGTAGCTGCCTTGTGTTGAGTCCTGTAACACTCTCCAGACCAGCTTGCTAAATAAACACAAGTGTGCTGCTGGCAGTACACAGCCTGATTACAGTGAAGAGCAAAGCACCATGTTCTTGCCTTTCTCTGTTCATATTACCAGCTGGGTTTTGACATGGTAATATTCCAGCTGCCAGGGTTACCCCTTCCCAGTTGATGCAGGGACAGCACTTACTGTCCATACACTTGTCCACTGAGAAGAGCTGGAGGAATGAGGGGCTATTTTGCTTGCTGGATGGCATGTTAACCCCAAAGCTCTTGTAAAGATGAGAGTGTTTTGAAAAGCAGAGCACAGGTACCACAGACAAGAGCAGCAGATGAGCAGGAGTCCACCCAAAAGCCATCGGGTACAGGTAGCAGCTATTTGATAAACAAATTCCTAAAAATATGGTGAATCATCGGCTAGAAGAGGATGATCAGACTTGATTGAAAATGCAGGGAACTAGTCAACGAATCCCTATCAAAAGCTGACAGCATGTTCCGCATGAGACTGTGAGATTTGAGACATCCTCAGAAAAAAATATATTTGCCTTCAGTGATTCAATAGGGAAAGGAAATGAAAGGGAATTCTGATGGGTTCAGCTGTTGGACCCGACAGAACTTAAACCTGAGTGCCTGCAAATAAAGCATATTTATCTCCAGGAGAGCAACCTTATGCCTCTGAAAGGCCAAATGCCAACAAACCACGGAATCACTGTGAACACTACGACTATTTTCTGATGATTAGTTTACTTCAGGATGTTATGCCTCACCCATAGGAAAGAGAGCTACTCTCCACTTAAAATTCCTTTGAGAACTCCACTGTGTCTTATAAAGATGCAGCTGATGTTTCACCACCACTTTCATGAGCACAGGCAACATTCCTTTCAATCAGAAAACATCCATTAATGCTCCTAAATGCATCAAGATTTGTACACAAGCTCCAAAAATCTCATTGTTTGGGTCTCCCTTCCCACACTGTTTCATATACAAAATATAACTGCATATCTTGTATGGCAATTTTATTTTTACAGAAATGCATACATCTAGAAAATAGGGAGAGCCTCTACTTGTAGTACAGTTCTAATTTTATAGTCTGCAGCAAAATTATGCACCCTCAAGCTCAGGTATGCATGGCTCAGAATTACTTTAACAAAACAACATATTAGAAAGCTGCAGACACAATAGAAGAGAAAATATTGTGGGGGCTTTCTTCTCTTTTGGTTCTTCTTCCTTTTTCTCATTTCTAAAGCCCATTAAATCTGGGGAACTCTCTAGGAGATAAATAATATTACCTTCTCAAGAGGTTAAATGGCTTCATTCCTGTAAGCATAAGCATCCGACTGCTACAGAAATCATTTTAGTCAGCTCAGCTTGCCCTGCCCAGCCACACTGACACAACACAACACTTTCCTCACTCTCATGGCTCTGTTCATGACAACCCACTGGAAAGATTTTGATGAATCGATAAAACTGGAAATCTTGAAGTACTGCACAAACACAAATCTAACACCTCATCTGTTTCTGGCCCCTTGACTGTGAAAATACACTTGCTTTCCCATAGTGTTAATGACAAGAGGGATGTTGATTAAGGAATTTTGGGTTGGTTTTCAGAACTTCATATAGAGGCAGATGATCCTGCAATGCTTTACTCATCTTTAAAAGTTCTAATTCCAGAGGAAAACAAAGGCAAAGGACTCGCTGCAAGCAAAATACCTTAGAAGCTGCATGCCTGGTTCCCTTCCTAGTATCCTGGGGCATGCTGGCTGTGACTAACAATCACCAGACCCAAGGGCGACGCCACAGGGAATTTTTAGGTCTGAGACTGAGTGGGTTGGAATGAGGAGGACAGTTCCTGCCTTCGCATGTGGGATCTGTGGAGACAGGCTTTGGTCTGGGAGTGGGGGGTAATTTTATTAGCTTCTTTTACCAAATCAGACCCAACCACCTACAGCACTGTGCAAAATGACCTCAGCAAACGTCAGTAAGCAGCCTGACTGCATTTTCTATTTGTAGACTATTGGAAAAATAGGTTGTTTTTTTAAAATCAAGCATTTAAACCAGATTTCTAAACTTGAACTCTATCCCCTTCTCATGCATCTCTGAATCAATTGCAGCTGTAGGTTGTATAAAAGGTTAGAAAGTTACGGGGCCTTCTGTTTTATCGAGATCTACACAAATGTACCAGGATAAAAACTGACACCCTGAGTTTCGGGACCAAAAAAAAAAAAAAAAAAAAGTAGACTTGGACATGAAACAATTTACCAGTAAACTGGACAGTCATTAAAAAAGTAAAACACAAAATGTTTGCACGTTCACCAACAGCAAATATAAGATAAATATGTAACACGAACACAACACTGATTTTTTTCCCACCTGCCTGGGGAGACCTTTCCCTCCTTTAGCTAATGGGCTGTCATGATCTGATAAGCAGCTCACCCAAGCTTGTCTTCTGGACTGTTCCCTGCCAAGACTGGAGGTCTCCTTTGGTGCAGCCTTCCCCAGTATTTGGCAGTTTCACACTCCAGAAGGATCAAACACATTACAGTTGGCTCACTGGCTTCAAACTCAGATCATTTGTTGCTTTTACAGAGGTTTTAAAATTTAACCTTATCTGTGCTGCAACATTTAGTACAACTGTCTAAAGGGCTCCAGACTGCATTCTATTACATACACAACAAACCACCTGTGGGGACAGCAAATAAAGATGACTACATGGGAAGACAAAGCAGCTTTCCTTTCCCAGGGTCATTTCCCTAGTTTACTGTCCAATGGCATAAACGTGTAAAAGATGCCACATTTCTTCCTGTGAGGTGAACTCCAGGGGTGTGCAGTGAGGCTCTAATTCACCTCGCTGGGGAAGAACATGCACTAGAAATGCCTCACCTCCTCCAAGGCTTCTCCTCCTGCAATTCAACCTGCATAACATTTGCTGACCGGTTTCAAACCTGTTCTGTGGCATCTGGCTGCCCCAGGTCCCCAGCACGGAGAGGACAGGGAGACAGGAGGGCTACAAGGAGCCTAAGGGGAGGAGAGGCAGAAGAGGAAAGCTGCAAAAATCAAGCATTCTTCCCTTTCCTGGGTGCTTGGTTGGGCCCGGATTTGCTCAGCCAGGCAGCTCTGTCGCTCCTGCAGCACTGGGGTTACACTGCTCCTGCTGTAATCGTTTCTGAATCAGGGCCCTCTGAAATCAAAGCCACCTTTATGAAAGAGATTCCTGAAATTCACAAGTTACTAA